GATTGAGTTAGTTGTCCGTAGACCATCAACAGCAGTTCACTAGCACTTGTAGAACAACAAAGGTACCAGTGGTCCAAACGTTTTGGGCAGTGGGAGCGGGTCGTTAACGAAGGAGGGACCTGCCGAACTCAATGTAAATATTGCTTTTTTTATCTTTATTGCTCTTCATTTTATATGAATAAAACCTTCCACATTGAGTGGGATGACTTGATATTATATGCCTTGACAACTCTTCTATGATTGAATTAAAAGTGACTCATTTTAATAGGAGGTTAGGAATGAGTCAGTGAGTTACCTTTTCCTGATTGTCGTCTTCGTCATTCGTTTATAATTTTCATCGAGACTACGAAAGTGCTTTGTACTATTTAATCGATGGCGTTTATCAGATCACATGAAAAGGTGTGGCGGTGGCGGTGGTCATGTGAAAAACGTAGCGACCGGCAACATGTGATGCGAGAAGTCAGACAGGGGCACAGGAGGGCCAATGCTCAAACATTTTAGTTCCAGCAGCCGCTGTAATGATTTTGGTTTATTACTTCTATGCTTTAATAGCTTATCGATCACACATTTTCTGTAACCTATATTTCTATTTTTATTTATTTTCATTATTTCCATTACATATTAAGAAGTTTTGCCGTTAACTGTTTATAATATCTGTTCGGAACAGAATCTTTTCAGCTACCCTTCACTTCTTTTTATACTGCTTCGAGTGAACTTTACATTGTGAACATGACTGTGTGCTCTGGAGGTGAAATCATCATTCGTTTCGCAATCGCGTCCTAATAAGCTGGTTCTACTCGGTCCTTATCGTTGCTTGGGGTTTCAGTTTTGCTTGAACAGTAACCAGCCTAAACAAGCTGATTGTTGAAGAAAGATGATAAGCCTTCTTAATTCCATCTCCTTCGAATTGTAATTTTCATTAAAACAGTAGCGAAAGTTGATTCAAGTGATTTTAAAGGGCAGTCGTAAATTGTATAACGAGAACAGGAAGAGTATAGTGTCTGTTATCCAAAAGTGCGTCGTGGCAGTTATTACCTGTTGCGAAACGTCTGTCAAGTGCGACGTTGTGGGCGACAACTATTGATCGTTGTTAATTTTTGTGCGTTTCGCTGCCTTTCAGACATCTGATTGGAGCGGCCGCGATCTCAATAACATCACTCGCCGATGGTTTTCCTCGACAGCGATCAGCTGTTTCTCGGTTGATCCATGTGATGTACATATAATCCAGCTGTTTGGACAAAGATTACGCAAAATCCCATAATATCGTTCCATCGATTTCCTTGATTCTTTTTTTCGATTGTTTTATGTGTATAATGTTAATGTTTCAAGGGAGCTGATGCAGCGGCAAGTGGCACGCGTACCACACGCCCGTTTGGGGGCCAAATCTCGGATCGTAGTCGATGTAGTCCATGCCCTTTATCCTCCCGATTCGGGATACTTGTCAACCGCAAAACTTCCTGCTTTTTTTTTCTTCCTTCTTTTGCTTCTTTTCTTCTCTTTTCTCTCTTTCTTTTGCTTCTGCTTCAACTATTGAGCCAGTTGATACAATGGCAATATACCCCTGAACACTCCCAACGACGGCATGTCTGGTTGGCAGAAGCCCTGTAACCCTTTACCCTCCGGGGTCACTAAACTGGTACCAGACTGGTTCGAGATAAGAATGCTGACTGGTACATCGGTTGGCCCCCGTACCCACATAGCTTTAGGCCGCATAGCGTAACTACGATCCTGATTCAAGGCACTCGTGTGGGGACATCTCCAGCTCCAGGGAGGGGGGGTCGCATCTGCTTTTGAGAGGAATTTGCCGCGTTGGGAAATTTTTCCTGTTGTTGACTTTCCGACCTTCCGCGGTTCTTGAGGGGGAGGAAGGACTAGTTGGTGGCGCTTCGTAGTTAGTATATAAAACTACATTTATTTGCGTGTTTGAAAGTAGTAGTTGTGTGGTTGACGCTTCCCCCCCCCCTCTCCCGCTCGAATGCAAAATGAGAAACATGAAAAATGTAAATTTTTGTGGAATTTTTTCAAAAAGAGTAGTAGAAAGTTGAGTAAATCTAGGAAACCTAGAAAAGCTCCCAACAGCGACGTGTCCTATTCTGAATGAAAGTAGAATGCGTGGCGTATTCAAACGGACTAATAAGTGGTGAAGCCTTCATTCTTTTTGATCTTTTTAGTGTTAATATATACTTTTACTATTTTATTTCAATTTTTGATGCTTCTAATTTCATTTGGCCTAGGTGAAAATCTTATTGATTGATGACTAAAGGATAGAAGATTCGCTTTCGCTAGACGAGTGGCGACATCTGTCAGCAACTAACGTCAAAAGAATGAATCATTTCATCCTTTCTATTTTCTCATGAGATAGCATCGATCTTTTTAATGGCGTTTTTTTCTCTATTCGATCAGCTTTCTGTCGCTTTTTCGTTCGTACACTCCTTTCCAATAGTACCAAACCGGACTTTAAACTGCGTCCGGTTTTAGCAATGGCATTGCCTTATAGCGTCGTCGAGGTTTCTTTGAACGTTGTGTGATGTTCACTTCATTGATTAGCTCGCGCTGTGCTTGGCTCTCAACATGCGGTCGGCCATGAAGGACAATCGTCAAATGTAATCGTCGGTATTTCAATTATTTCTTTTATTCTTAGAATAAATGGATAACTATTGCTTTTTGTTGCTATGGAAAGGATTCTCCCTAATGCAATTGGTATTTCGCCACGTAACTGCCACTTGCGGAGATCCTACAATCAATAAGTTTATAGCATACTTTTTTCTGGCTTTTTCTGGATGCTTCGTCCCACCCCGAATCCTTTCATGTGAGCCTTCTGGGGATATCATCATTAAATTACCACTTTTTTGGGTCGCTAAGAACTCTAGGAGACGGGAATGTTCAAAGGTATGCCCTGCGCTCAAAAATGATAAGATTGTGCGGCTCAAACACTAATGAAGAGGGTGGAAGTTTCAGCAATGAAGAAAAAAAAAGCTGAAAAAACTGAAAACTGTCTACAATTCTCTCTATTCAATTGCACATGCGTGGGGTGAAAGAAATACCTAGTCGGACGAGTTCGCACTTGTTGGTACCAGCTCCTTCTCCTATTCTCACCTCTCGAACTAGAGGGAATGAGTAGCGGAGCACCATCAGGTAGCAATTAAAATTGAAAGTTAGGCGTCGTGGCAGTTGGCTGAGCCGTGGTTCCACCGCGAGCGAGCAGCGCTTTCAGTCGTAGTTTTGGTTCAGACGTATTTTCTCATTGTATTTACTGGCCCAGCAGTTGTGAGGAGTTACAGAAGGAAGAGGGGAGGTAGAAGAATGGAAGGAAAAGAAGGAAGGAGTGAGGAGAAGGAAGGAGGAGAGAGGCTTCGCAATTGAAGAGTTCCGGATACGATGGCGCGCCGTGTCTTCAAAGGGAGAGAATGTGTGCCTCCTGCGACTCAGCGGAGATTAAGCCCTTTGCCTAGGTTCAAAGGGAAGAAGCTCCTTAACCAGTTTGAAGCGCTTCAGCTATTTTTAAATGGTGGTAGTCGCGGTCATTTCTAAGGAGTATCAGAAGTGTCCCCGAGAGCACCTCTGAAATAGAGATTGAATTTTGCTCACGATTTTTTCAACTTTTTATGTGTTGTAATTATTCTGCTCACTCTCAACTAGTGAGTAGTTTATTCTATATTCAACAATTTTAATCGAAGGACGAAACATAAATCATGTGCTGCGCCCTTAATCACCATGTGAATAGCGGTATTGATTGCTGTATAGATATTATTGAAGCTGTACTATTAGTGCAACGTTACACTCTTCATTTTTTACAATAGTAATCGTTGTCGTATTGCTCCATTTCTCGTCTCTTTTCTTTCTTCATAAGGCTCTCCCAGGTTGCCAAATTCGTGGGAAAAGTGAATTTTGAGATAAAATCTTTTCATGATGGCGATATATCCCCACTGCGTTGACATCTCAGTCAGCACCTTCGCGGCTAATGGATAAATGGGTTATTTACATGAGATATAAAGGCCAGCGAGGTAGAGGCTTGTGTAGTGGAAGTAGCCCACCTACCATGCAGTCAAGGGACAAATCCTGGATCGGTACCATTAGCCGACCAGGTCTTCTATCGTCCGGGGACGGTAAACTGGTACCAGGGTGCTCTCGTGGAGGGGGGGGGGTGAGAAGAAGGGGATAAGAACACTGACTTACATTCTTATACATCGGCTGCCCACCCCACCTCCCTTCGCAAGTCATTGTGTAGGCCGCATCGCATTCAGTCAGCCACTATATCCTGAATGGAAGTAGAATGCGTGTCGCATCCCAGCACGGGATTGATAAACGGCGAAGGCTTTATTCTTTTAGTAAGACATGTGAGGCCAAGGTGGTGTAGTGGCATATAGCTCACACAGCACGCGCTCGGTCCAAGGACGAAAACCCGGATCGTCTTCCGCAGAGGGCAACCAAGCCTCCTACCCTCGGGGAACTACGAACTGGCATCACTTTTGTTTGTCTGAAAGAATGGCAACGCTGAATCTCATATCGGTTGGTCCCTACAAGTGATTGTGTAGACCTTTTTACCGAAAATAGAGTGCTAAATGTTAAAGAAGGCTAGCTTCTGAGTGGGATTGAAATGCCCAAAATGGGACTGGTCAACAGCAAAAGCTTTGTCTATTGCCCTCATTAAAACATGTGATTTGTCGGTC